TATATATATATATACAGGTTTGGCATGCGGGAGACGGGGGTTCGAATCCCGCTTGGGGCAAAAAAAAAATTAGCACATAACACCATCCATTGTGGGTCCTTGGGCAAGACCCTTCACGCTAATGCCTACCTCATACAATGATGAGAGACAATAAACCGATTGACATGCCGGCTCAGACGTCGCCCGGCCAAACAAGGTCTGCGTCAGGTGCTGGGGAACCAGAGCACCTTGATGAAAAATGGGCTACTGGAACAAAGCGGAGATGGGCGAGATGCGATAACATGGCTCTGTTGGAATGCTACTACTCAAGTAACCCTAGTCAGAGGGGTTACATGCAGAGAATGAGGGCTAATTGCCACCCTGATCGAGTGCCCGTGGCGACCAAAATCATAAACGACTATTTTCTCAGTGTTGCAGTTTGGGTTATGGTGTTTCCTTGTAACTTAAAAGAAACTTTTTGGTTCCTGACATGTCTAATATGCTAAAATACCTTTCACGTGAAGTTCGTGACAGAGCTCGTGAAAGTTTGACACAAAGCGCGTACACATGTAACAACCAAATTCCCAAATTTCATTTAATTGAGCCGCCAAACCGACCATACCATGTTTCCACTCACCAGGGTCAACCCTCAATCTGGTCCCGCATGCAAACATCAAATACACATACACACAATGTGAGGCTCAAACAAAACAAAACAAACAAAAAAAAAAACAAACACTCACTAAGTTTCTGTTTCAGGTTGTAATCAAACTAAGTATGCTTTTAAAATAAATAAATAAATAACTACATTCCAAAATGTAATTTGCCGGATCCTGTCGCACATTAGTCGCTTGCTTAACAAGAACCTCATGAGATCTGTTTTGAACCTCATACATAATTTATCGCATCAGATTGTTCACATGATCCTAATCCAGTGTGTAAATTCATGGCAACATCCACGAGGTGAATATCCAGCTCCCCTGCAACCATGAGCAGGGTTAGCAGTGTTAAAAAATGCACACAAAGAATGTGCCTTTTCTTGTTTTATCCCATGTTTCTCAGCAGTCAGTCTGGTACCTTTTCCGAAGAGTAATTTCCAAGCAGTTCGGAGAGGCAAGAAAACAGTGTGAAAAACAAATTGCCTTTTGGCCTGTTGGAGGAGAGTGGCTTTCTTTCCTCCACGTGTTCGTTGATTTCGGATGATGAGGATGTTGGTTATCCAAATACAGGCTGGAGGTGATGAACAGTACCTTCAAAGGTTTTATTTGCAGAATATTCTGGGCACCCATGGTCGACAGACAATGACTGCGATCACGAGTGCGCAGAAGGAAGGGATTCACAACATATTTATTTCATCAGAAGGGCGGAACCGAGACTAAGGTGCGACCTCGAGACTTCAGTGTCTCCTAAACCAATTTTTAGCTTGTATCAAACCGTCTCCACAAAGTCTCTAGTAAGCAGTGTATCAAGGCTAACAGATGGCTCCAAGGACGCACTTGGTTTACTGCAGGCATGAAAATGTTACACAGGTTACACTAAATATGGCGGAAGACACATATCATTGCATTATAAGAAACACAAAAGACCACGGCAGAGGTTTCACTAGACTAAATATGAGCATAAGTCACCCTTCAAGAGCAATCCAGTTTCCTCAAATCTTAGAATCTATGACAGGGGTGTCAAAGTCAAATGGACGGAGGGCCAGATAAAAAAATTTGCTGCAAGCCGAGGGCCGGACTGATCGAATGTTCATTGAAAATTTTAAAAATGACCACATATTGTTTATTGAACCAAATTTAATTGACTGAAAACCTAACAAATACATTCCAATATGGTCAGATAAATAAAGCAACATTTTTTTATGGCTACGTCAGTAAACTTTAATTTTCAACAGGCACAAAAAAAAATTCCTTTGTATAAAAATACCCATAACATGAATGAAAAAAGCCGATATTATTCAAGGCACTATCA